GGAGGAGGAGGAGGAGGCGGCGGGGCCGCGGCTGCTTCTTTGTGGAAAGAAAGTTTCGGTGCGGCTCGGCGCAGCTCTGCCCGCCCGCCGGAGGAGGAGGCCGGGCCCCCCGCCGCCGGGAGGGGCGGCTTTCGGCGGCGTTCCCCCTGCGGGGCCCCGGCGGCTTGGGCAGGGGGGTGCCCTCTCTGTCACCGGGCCCCGGGCAGTGCCGCCTTTGGGGCCCGGGCCTCCCGGGAAGCGGCGGGGGGGCGGCCGGGGCGGGGAGCCGAGCGCGGAGGGGGTTTTCCGAGGGGTGTTTTCCGAGGGGGAGAAGGGTGATGGGCCGGGGCTGGGGGAGCCGGTGTCGCCGGGGCGGGCTGTAGGAGCGGAGTGAGGGGGGGCGAGCAGGAGAGAGAGACGTCGGAGAAAACTCTGGGGAAGCAGCGGTCGGTGAAACGAAAAATACGGGGATGGGGGGAGAGCAGGGAAGGGGCAGGGGACGCGGTCAGCCCGGGGCGGCTTGGCATCCGAGCGGGGCTGGGGCTGCTCCCGGGGACGGCACCGCTCCTCGGGAGCCTTTTGTACCGCAGCCCGGAGCGGGCCCCGGCCAGAACGATGCGGTGCGGGGTTCAACATGGCCCGCGGAGCCCGGCGCGGGGCTTCCCTGCCTGGCTTCTGCGCCTTGGCCCGCCGGGATGCGGCACCCGTGGGTCCGGGTCCTTCCCGTTGAAGGGGAAACTTTCTTCGCCCTGGGTAGCAGGGAGGGTGAGCGGAGACACCCCCCTCCTTCTGAGAAGAACGCTCCCCTATTCTCTATGCTTGCCCCCCCGGGGGGGGGGGGGGGGGGTCCCACCCCAATCCTGCACCCAACTGGGAAAGATTCAGAACTGTTTAATAACCGTTGCAAGAAACATTAATCGGACACAGGCTTGAAATGTACAGATCGTGCCTAATTTCCATATTGGCTTGGTTTTCTGCTTTTTGGTTTTTTTCCCCATGTTTGGGTATTGCTAATGGAGGGGTGGTTTTTTTTTGAGTTCATAAAGCAGAAAAACATTTCTAGATACAGAAAGAAAGCAATCCAGCGCCCCATTAGCATTTTTTCGCCTCTTACGAGAACAATACAGGCTCACTGTAAGCTTGCCCAAACATGGGCTGCCTTTTATTATACATTGGTACGGTGCCTGGCGCAAGAGGGTCCTCTTTTTGACTGGGTTGGGATGCTGAGCCCAGTAAGGACTCTGTGTCACAGCACTACCAGGCTGCAGGGGTGACAGGTACCACCTGCCGAGATGCTGGCCTTTCACAAGGAGGGGAAAGGAGAAATCCTTTGAGCAGACCCGGTTCTTCTGCCTGTTTGAAGTAGCAGATGCTCCTCTCCTGTTGACTGCCGTCCCTCGCGTAGCTCTTGGAAGTTGTGTTGTTCAAAGTCTCCGGTACCTTTTTTTTTTTTTCTTTTTTTTCTGTTTTATTTTAGCATTGGTGGCTGTAATTTGAAAAACAAAGTTAATGACGGCTTTGCGATTGAATTGAAAGCTTAGGTGACATCTAACTGTCGGTATGAAGACAACTGTCTGTCTACATCAAAGCTGACACGGCAGCTTACCTTACACTTGTCATAAAAAGGCTGCTGTCTAGCTTTGGTCCCAGACACCTGTGTGTTCCTGTAGCCTGAGGAGATCCTGCATGAAACCTATCTGTCTGCTTTATGCATTTACAGAACTAGGTCTTCACTGCTGGATTTTTCTCTTCTGAGGCATTTTTTTTTTATTGTCACTATTTATACAATACTGTATTTGGTATTGCAAACTCAAGATTGTTCACCTTGAGTGTATTGGGGTTTTAACCCAAAGGTGCAATAACAGAAAGCTTCAAATAAACAAGTTAGCCAGGGGAGAAGGGGTGGTATTTGTTGTCAAGCACCCCAATTTGCCCCTTTTTTTTTCTTTTTTCCCAAAAATGTGAATCTTTTTTGAAGGAACTGCAAGAGGGAAGGGAAATAGGATTTAACTTTTTTTCCCCCCCCTATAGCCTTTTCAGTTGCTGGTGTTTATTTCAGTGCTGGTTGCAGTGCTTGTGAAAATCGCTCACCTGCAGGAAATATGAGGTCACAGTACGTCACAGCGCCCACAGTCACTCTCCTCCTGTTCCTGCTCTGGATCCAGTCCTCAACAGGCTGCAACAAGGCTCTCTGTGCTAGCGATGTCAGTAAATGCCTGATACAGGTACGAGTCCTGTTTCCTTTATCAGCTTTTAAGCATTTAAGAAACAGTTCTGAAGCTGCATCTTAAAAAGATCCGGTGATACAAGTAACCGGCATTTTATGTTAAATAGTGGTGGGTGTTTTTTAAAGTTAATTATGCTCTCCTGCACATGTAAATGCAGATTAACGACTGTTTTATAGATAAGTGCATCTGTATATGGGCGCGTTTCTTCTTTTAATGGAAACACTTTCAAGTTGAGGATTAGGATTGCTGGGTTATTGTTAAAAGCCACTACTAGTCACACTGTTAGTTTTCGGTCTCTTTCATCTTTTTTCGTGATATTATGAGCAGGCAGCAATTTAAAACAGATACTTTATTAGAAAGGTTTCCGTGGGCAACAGTTGTTTTTCTAAAGATACCTGCAATACCAGCAGTTCAAACGTGCTTGCAATGTCTGAGATGTTCCTCTTAAATTGCAGTCTGTCCACTTTGTTAAGTTTCCCAGCCCATGCAGAGGATCTGTAGTTGATGCCTGATGCTCTCCATAACATCATCTTTGTACAGTTGATGAAAAGATGCCTAAAAACTCAGATGAGAGAACTAACACAAGTAGGGACCTAATTTGTCTATGAGTCCTGAGGTGCGTTTGGAGCAGCTTTTTGATCAGGAGGGACCTATGGCTACTAATGGCAGTGAGCAAGCTCTGATAGCATGCGGGTCTACCTTAAAACCAAAAAAAACCCAACAAACAACCCAACAAAAACTTACCAGTTGACCTGGTAGGCAGTGGATTTTAAAGTCAAATCCAGTCACTGCTTTTGACTCGCTGTCTGTCCACACAGAGAAAGAAACAGACTGAGACCAGGTTCCTCTTCTTAGAGCGGGAGTTAAGAGGCATGGTGTGCAGCAGAGCAAAAGCACCTTTTATAGCAGAATTACGAGCAGTTCTGGTATCTGCCAAACTCTTTATTTACTGATGGTGTATTAATCATGATTCTCATGGAATCAAAGAGTGATGTGGGGTTGGAAGGGACCTCTGGAGATCATCTAGTCCAACTCCCTGCCAAAGCAGGTCCACCTAGAGCAGGTTGCACAGGAAGATATCAAGGTGGGTTTTGAATGTCTCCAGAGACAGAGACTCCACCACCTCCCTGGGCAGCTTGTTCCAGTGCTCTGCCACCCTCAAAGTGAAGAAGTTCCTCCTCATGTTTAGACAGAACTTCTTTTGTTCAAGTTTATCTGCTTGTTACTTCTTACTCTTGACTCCATATTGAAAAAAGGAGCCATCACAGGGTCTATTGCAGCTTCCTTAAAAGAAGCCATTTCTTACTCCCTCTTTGTAGATTGGAAATGCAAAAGCAGAGAGCAGGAATATCATATGCTGGTAATGTGCTAGTATGTTTAACTGTAAATGTATGATCACCATCTGAAAAGTGATGCGGAAGTGGCATGAAGTGTTTCCACGTTTACTTCATTTCGTTGAGTTCCATGTAAAATTTGTCTGGTTTACAAATAAAAATATGTGCCAGATTCACAAATCATCCTGTGGAATGAAAACTGACTGTAGACTGAACTGTCTTCTTTCTGGCTTCTGCACTGCCATTGCTTTAAAAATAAAATCGCTGTTTCTCCTATCCCCAGTGTAGTCTGTGGAGTTGTTAAATATGGGAGCAGGAAAGAGGCTTTTGACTTTCACCGTTTCAAAGACAATGCCAGTGTTTTTGGTGGGCATTGTGCACCATGACAAACTGACACACCTACAAGTTCCTTCTGTTGCATTTTCTCAAATCATCTCTAGGCTTGAAACCTTTAACAAGCAAGATGCTAGTTGTGGTGTTGAATGTACAAAGCGCTTAAGTAGTAAGTGTAGTGGTACAGATGTGTTGATTCAGGGGAAAGCTCTTGGTCCAGATGAAGGGGAAACAGGGAAGATTTATTGTCTCCTTTTCCAGGTGGACTGATGGAGTCCACCATCCATGAAAGCACAGACATCTCCTTCCTAAGTAAACACTCAACTTTTATCAAGTCAAGCTTGAGACACCCAGCATTTAAACTTTATTTTTCTGAGCTAGTTTGAATAGAGTAGAGCCCAGGAGGAGTGGAGCTGATGCTACTGAAGTCCTTCCTTGGCCGGGAATAAGGTGGCTTGAGGTTCAGCACTGCATGGAGGTGGCTCACATGACTGTGCTTTACCTTGGCATCTCCGTAGCGACACAGCCCTGTGTGTGCAGAGAGACCCCTGCATGGCTTTACTTGTTGCAGGTGTGTTCTTTCCTACTTTGTACAGCTGATGTCAGATCCCTTTTTAAAGCATTTCCCTGAAATAGAAATCACATGCAATTCTCTGAGACCCTAAAGTAATGCAGACCATGTGAATCGTGTACAATTAATGGGGTAATGCCGCTGTTTGTTTTCACCCTCTGGCTGCTCTCTTCCTGCAAACAGGCCTGACATACCAGTCAGTATTCATTCTTTATAGAAGAACAGATCAGGTCAGACTAGTCTCATTGTGGACATGAAGACTCCTAAAGCTTTGGCTTAAAGCAATTGTCATCTTTCTTCTTGGCTTTTTTATTATTTATTTTTTTTTAAAATCTTCAGTGCTGTTGTGGCAGAAGCACTGTATGGGTATGTGAAGGGTGTGTTATTTCTTTGGTAGGTATACAAGTAGAGTATATCCATGTATTTTTTTCCCCCCGCTAAGCTCTTCTGGAGAAATCTGAACTTTAAAATAAAATACTGTGTTGAGCGAGCTTTCTTGACTATTGCATGACATTTTTCCCTAACCTATTTTTGTAACTGTTCTGCTTTGGCAAAATCTGTGGCTTGAAACCAAGATAATGTCACTCGGAGACAACTAGGGGAGGAAACAGAATGTGAATGTTTGTCATCTGCATCTGCGTGCAGAAAGCGGGGCTGCCTGTCTTAGAGACATAATGAGACAAAAGACCTGCTCTCTCAAAAAGCATATGGCTAACATAAATATTTTTGCCAGCATGGCTAGAAGTCAGCACAGTCATTACTGCCACTCCTTAGGAGCTGCTCTGCTTAAGGGTGGTCCCTACGTAAATATTTATTTTGTTAGATGCAGAACAGAGCATGAGATCAACAACTTGCATGCATTTAGCTTTCCTTTTACATCCTGAGGCTCTAGCTTCATTGGTGCTCTCGTAGTCTACTTCTTGTTTTCCTGTAAGCAAAGACCTGTAAGAAAATAGCTTGAGGCATCTCTCTGCATAAGCTTAGCTTTCGCAAAAAAACTTGTGGCTTCCTATAGTTGTTGAAGGAGTTGTGGATAAGAGTTGGGAGTGGGACCACAAAATTAGTTCTCTTGAAGGCTTTGGATGTAGCTCCTTCCTGTGTCTCTGGGGTTGGGGCATTGCAGTCGATAATTGCTTTTCAGGTAGGCCACCAAACCCTGGTTGCACATAGAGTCATAGAATTAATTAGGTTGGAGGGGACCTTCAGGATCGTCTAGTCCGACCATCAACCTAACTCTGACAAAAAAAACATCACTAAACCATGTCCCCCAGCACCATGTCACCGCGTCTTTTGAACACCTCCTGGGATGGTGCCTCAGCCACTTCCCTGGGCAGCCCATTCCAATGCCTGATAACCCTTTCAGTGTAAAAACTTTTTCTAATATCCAATCTGAACCCCCCCTGGTGCAACTTGAGGCAACTTCCTCTTGTCTGTTGCCTGTGACTTGGTAGAAGAGACCAATCCCTGCTTCTCTACAACCTCCTTTCAGGTAGTTATAGAGCGCGATAAGGTCTCCCCTCAGCCTCCTCTTCTCCAGGCTGAACAACCCCAGCTCCCTCAGCCTCTCCTCATAAGACTTGTCCTCCAGACCCCTCACCAGCTTCCTTGCCCTTCTCTGAGACATTGGCGTGCACGTTGCAGTATTTATTCTAGCACATCTGCTGTTGACTTGGACGCATGGATTGTTTTGATGTTTCCATGTGTGGAGGAGATGAGAAGGCCAGTTAGGCTCGCTGGGCGGAGCGGAGGCGTATGTTGTGTCCTTGCAGCATGGAGGAAATCCTTGAAGGCAGACACCTCGAGGATGGGACGTTCCCACAATGGTTGGTAACGAACGGGTTTGAGGTGGGTCCCAGGCTGGCTGCTAGGGCGCAGGGCTACCTGTGGGTCTTGGGCTTGGCTGGTAGGGCCACGTTGTGCTGGAAGCCGAGCTTGGCTGTCCTGTCTGCAACAGCTCTTTAAACTACTGCTGTAAGGAGGAAACAAACGGCTCTAGAGTTCAGGCATGGATTTCGGGTCTCTCTAAAGAGGGATTGTTTTCTGGAGAATACAGGGTTTTCTCCCCCGAACACTACGTGCCTGCATTCACCTTGGCTGGTGCAATATCCTTCCGATTAACATCTCTCTGCATCTTTGTCTTCGCCCCCTGTTAATCTTGTGTACAAACTTGTCAGCTTGAAAGGATTTCCAAGACTTTTTATCCCTGTGGTATGAAATAAACACCACTCCTTAACTTCAGGGCTTAGGCATCTAAAAATTACTTTTAGTGTGTATGTTGTAGCCATAGTACGTAACGCAGTTGGGTTAACAAAACAGTTCTGGCTGAGTTGCTTCCAGGAGATTTTCTGTTATTAAACCGTTCTAGGAAAAAACATTAGCTCTTTTTCTTTCACTCCCCCTTCCAGTTTGCAGGGATGTTGCCAGTGCCTTCAGGTCCTGTTTCTCACTGCACTGAGAAAATAGTCTCTGTCATTTCAAGAAAGCTTTGAAAAAATGCAGATGTTAAATACCTTGTAAAAATCTTTATTTGCTCTCTGGAGCAGAAGTATCTTTGTTGTATGAACATGCCTGCTTCCTATTTAATGCTGTATTTTTAGACTGAGAGGCTTATTTCTTGCCTAGCAAAATACATTCCCTGATGCACCTTCAGTAGTTGAGCTTGGGAATTTGCCAAGTTGACTTATGAGTAATATTTTCTTCCACTGACGCCTCACCACCCCCAGCTATCAACAAGGAACGTTTCTCATTCTGCCTCGCTTCACCCACGTCTCATGTAAGCATTCTTTTAAAAAGATGTATCCTGCACCAGTATCCAATATGGATGAGTCAGGCAGAAGGACTCAAGAGTGGTTAAGGAAACCATGTACGTGCACACATATATGGAAAAATATACAGTTATTGCCCTGAAGAGACAGTTGAACTGTGAGACGGAGGCAGCTGGAGAGCTGTGCAGGAGACTAATCGGGTTGCTCTTTCTTCCCTCTTCCCTTGCCAAGTCAAAAAAAATAAATAAAAGAAAGTAAAAAATGAAAATAGAAAATAAAAAATTACACTGCTCATAAGCCCTATAAAAATAAAGTTGTTAAAATACTGGTAGTGTAGTGGTGCTGTCCCAAGACAGTGCTTATACATATCGAAGCTAAGCAGAATTTTCTTTATTACGTTGCAAATGTATAATTTAAGGTTACACTTAATTCAGTGAGAATACTGTTCTCTTAGATTCACACAGTGCAATCTATAAAACTGAAACAACTCATGTAGTGACTTTTCTGGCTTTGCTTCATACATTACATTTAATAGTTTACTGAGAATCACCTCTTCCCACATACTGGCTTGTTGGTGTTGCAATGCCTTTAATAAGCATTAAGTTGTTTCCCCAGTTTTACTGTCAAAGAACAAATACATAGGATATTTTTAACACTAATGTATATTAACGTTATTCTCTGCCAATGTAACAGTACTTTACTCGTGGTTGGTTTTGAAGTTGTTTTATTCAGGCTTTTTATTCTCAAGGCTGACACAATCTGTTTATCAAACGGTAAGATAAATATTTTAGAAATGCGTCATTCATTCACATAAGTCATCTTTCTAAGTTTGTGGTGTCTCCTCTTGTGGAAAAAATTGTATATTTTATTAATGAGCCTGTTTTTCATCTTTCATTTGGAAACAGCATAGTAATAGGTGACATTAATAAACTTTGAGGATGAAAAAGTAAAAAATCTTGGTGGTTTTCCACTCTGTAAATAAAAATTCAGGACTTACTAAGACTGCACATTGCAGAAACGTGTGTGGAGCAGAAGTTCACCCTTGATCACTCAGCAGGGCAAACAGTTCACATCAAACTCTGCAGGCAACAGCGTTTCTCAGCATTATGTAGAAAACACAATAGTTAGTGAATTAGGTTTCTTTGCTGGCTTCAAGAAGATTTGTGATCTAGGGTGAAGCAATGGAAATGTAACAGATCCAGGAATTTATGCTGCATTAATATGTTGTAGCACGTCTGCAGCAGGTCTGGGGTTTGTTCAGTTTTAGTCCAGAACTGGGAGCCCTGAAGCTTCACTTGCTTTGGGCTCAAAGAGCAGGGATGGGCGTCATCTTCTCCTTCTCCTGGTCAAGTGCGTAGCAGAGATTTGCTGATGGCTCTTCCAGTAAAGCTGGGGGTGGGAAGGTTCCCATGGTCAGTATTTCCAGTAACCGGATTTTGTTTTCTCGCCAGTTGTGCGTAACGTGATAGTTAGACAAACGTCATCAAAACCAAATTCTTAGACAGGACAACCAAATGTGACTCCTTGATTTCACACTACAGCATGATTATTCAAGCCTATATGTTGTTGTCATGTAGCCGCAATCTTTCAGCCAAACTGGAATTACTAGCAGGGATTTGAGCTAGAGGGAAGGAGACCACCAGGTTTTCAGATTTTTTCACCCATGTAGGCTATTTCCATGTTGCGAGTTCCATGAGTGTGTCTTCAGTGGGGCTGCTAAACCAGCGCCTTTGGGTTTAGGTAATTTGAAGCAAAGGGTTTATCTTCTCACTTCTGTGACACTTCCATTTTTCTAGCTAAATAACGGTTAAAAGAAAATGTGTATGCATGCCATTTCACTTCCTAGAGACTGGGGAAGTGTTGGAAATATCCCAAGGTGTCGGTTTCGGGGGTGAAGAGGGAGGGGGTTGTTTTCATAGTAGCAAAAATGAATCAGCTGGACCTGGGTGGGGGGAAATCATCTGGGCACTAATATAGCAAATGGAGAGCAACGTGCAAGAAGCATTCAGAGATGCACAAAATGCATCAGGTGACTGAATCGGGTAAGTTCCTTTTAGAATCCATGAATAGGTGTGATGGTAGACATCTTAGATCATCTTGAGTATGCACATGTGGCTTATAGTAACTTCCTTTTTTAGCTAAATTATAACGTGCGCGCACTATTTATATATAAAGAAACATCCTTCTTTGAATTTCCTGTTGTGATGGGAAAAACACTCAAAGAACTTGTAGATTCAGGCATACCCAGAGGAGCACACACCTTCCCCATGAATAGGTTTTTTTTCCTCTTTTTAATGCTGACTTTAGATTTGTCTTTTGAATGTCATCTAAAAAAAAAACAAACCAAAAAACTTGCAAAAGATCCTTTTGTAAACTAAGATCAGTTCTTTGGCTGGAACTGTTTTACCGTTTACTCGCTGTATTAGTGTACTAAGCTTTTTTAATGCCGTAATTTGAGTTGCGGCTTGAAGAAGAATGGCTCCGCCGCGTTAGCAGTTTACATCTGGGATTGCCGTGGTGTAATGAGTTTCTGTTGTTTTCAGGAGCTGTGTCAGTGCCGCCCTGGGGAAGGGAACTGCTCCTGCTGCAAGGAGTGCATGCTCTGCCTGGGCACCCTTTGGGATGAGTGCTGCGACTGTGTTGGTAAGTTTGCATTTTTGGGGGATTTTCTTTTTTTTTTTTTTCTTTTTTTTTTTTTTCTTAAATTGCTTCCTTCTGCCACAGCTCTGCTGAGCTCACAGTCTTATAATAGAAATGAAACATGGGGACAGAATCTGTGCTTTAAACGTCTTACAGCTCATTCTGTGGGTACCGAGTGAATTACTGTGGGGAACCAAACAACTGAAGGCGGTATCCACTCAATGGAGTGGGGGGTGGCAGTAGTCCAGGTTTTGCTTGATTAATGTCATCATAACTGACTATTAATTGTGTCTTTAAAACACAAACTCCTTTTTGAATTGTCATCTTGAGGAAACTACGCAGCACCTGCTTTGACGGGGCTGGGTGCTGTATGGAGGTTTCTAACTGTAAAGTGTTGTGACACATAGCACACAGCAGCCTTGGGAATCCTTGGGACTAGTAGTAAATATGCATGTCCTGGTGTTTTCAGCATTCTTTCGTTTGTAAAAAAAAAACAACAAAAGCTCTTTGTGGAGAGTAAGACCAGAAATGCATTGCTACTAACAGGTAGTGTGCAGAGTGCCCAGACCTTTGCAAGTGAATGCTGTCCCTGCTTAAGGAGGGTGTATTCTAGTTCTGTCCCTTGTTTTAAAAGTATGGAAAGCTCCATCCTTCTGTGGCTGCTGGAAGTCTCCCCCTGCTGCCATTCAAAGTCCTTCTGGCTTCCATGAAAGGTGTGTGTCTCAAGTGTCGTTCCTGCTCTCAGCTTCTCTGTCTGGCTGGGCCTTCTCTGGGTTCATGACCATGATTAGTATCAAAGTGCTCTTTTTTAGTGCAGTCCATTGCTTCTCCACATGTTCATCATCATGTGAATGTGCTTTCTGACATCCTGCTTTTCGCTTGGTTCTGGCAGGCTTACCTTTGCTTTACTGTCTTTCAGTAAGCAGTAGAGTGGCGTGGTGTGATTCTTCCCAATGGCATAAAGTATTTTTCGGCCCCTGCACCTGTAGGGGATACACAGAAAGAGGTCCTAGAGCTGGTTTTTTCTATTTTATCTTGGGCTCCTTGAAAAGTGGGGAAAAAAAATGTGTATATTCCTATCTCTTTTTTTCTTTCCTTTATCCTTCCACTGTCTTGTTTTTTGTAATGTAATCCTAAAGTGCGCTGTTGTCACATTCAGTCATAGCCGTGAAGAATAGGGCAGTATGTTATTTCCCTAGTTCAGAACCATTATCTGCTGTAGAAAGCAAGGCATAGTGTGCTGATCTTCTCTAGGAAGAACCTACCTCTTGGAATTATGAAGAAAAAAAGTGAAGTCCGAACATAGGGTGATTTTTTTTTTTTCTAAATCTGCAAATTACTCACTGTTCTGCTGCTCTTTCCCATGGTGTTATCCAGGAGAGAAGTTAATGAGGTTCCAGGTTCAGTTTCCCAGTACTGAATAAATTAAAACATCTCTTGATGGTTCTGTGGGTGCCTCAGACCTTGTTGGTTCTCTGGTACAGTCATGTTCTTCTTCTCTTCAGTGTAGGGTCACCCTTGCCGTAGCCTTATTCAAATGAAGAAACAGGAGTGCGCACCATACCCAGCTTCCTGGAGACAGTTCTCTGCTGATACTTGAGCCGATATTCAAGTCTCTTTATAAGCTGATCATGTGTAATGTAAAAGGAGATAGGTTGTCGTGTCTCTCAGGCCATGTCTGCTCTGAGGTCAGTGATTACCTCCTGCTCTCCAGCACTAACTTTACTGATGCTCAGCTGATGCCCTGGGTTTTGTGGGGATGTTCTCTCCCTTCTCTGACAGGGAAAAAGATGCTGGAGGAGCGAGAACTGTAACAGGTACCTCTTTCCTCTGTTTTTCTAAGCTTTGTGAGTTAAGCTTTTCTAGTCCCTCAGGTAAAGGCTTGTCTGCTTCCATCTTTTCAATAGCCCATTTCTGCACCTTCTCATCCATTCCAAAGCAGTAATTTAGACATGTTTGTTCCTTACCAATTGCTTTTTAATTTTTGTTTTAACCAAAGCTACTATTTTATAATAATTATTATATATAAATACAATTATTATAATTAAAATACTTTAAAAATAGTAAGAGGGAAGGATCTTTGTGGAGGGAGTAGTTACCCATTAAACTACGAGTGATGGTTTCTTGGTACCATCTGACATAATATTTTCATACTGTGTTGATATACACACAACCTTATACACATTCTGCAATAATTTAGTAAATGATCTTGGTGGTTTTTCCTGTGTGTTCTTCTTATCAGTGAAATTTATTTTCTGAATCCAATTTGAGTGCCCTCTAGAAAGACTCACTGGTTTTCATTTCACAACATTAATGCAATGACATCAACTAAAGTATATACCTCTTGACGTATCTGTACAAAACTGTTACCTGGTTTAATATCTTCCTAACTAATTTTCAGGTGGGCATTCTTTATTACAGTTGTATGGGGAATATTCCAAGTGCTTACTAAAAGGTGATAACACGGGGATAGAAATGTTTTTTATTAAAGCAATGAGTCCAGGAACATCTGTGAAAAACAAACTTGCTGAGAGGACTAGGAAAATAATTGTTGAAGGCAGGAAATTTATGTAAGTGGAATTATTTTTTTGGTGTAACCTGATGTTGTTTGGAGGAGAGGCTTGGTTTTTTTCCTACCCAACACTTGGCTCACCAGCCTATCCTCTGTTCCTCCTATTATTAAATGCTGGTAATGCTAACCACTTGCTTAAGATTTGCCAGATCTCATGCTGATCGTCATGGACAAACTTCACTCTGTTTTATTCATTATGGAAATTCATCTACTTAGATGGAAAAGATCGTGGTTTTGTCTAAGGCTGTAGTTAAATATGATTTCTGAAGCTGGAGTCCTAATGTGTCTGCAGGGCAGGAGATGCTTCTCTGGTTGTGTGGGACAGGTAGGCTTTGAACATTCATGTCGCTATCGCTTTGGTACTTTAAGGATTGGTGCGCTTTGCAGCTGTAGCTGGCTAGAACTGTGTCTGTAAAACTACCCAAAACGATATCCAGATGTACATGAGGAAAATGGATTTGTCTGTCTCTTGCCAGGTGACTTCTAATAGTGTTTTATGGCTTCTGAGTTTAAATATCTATGCAGATACAACTTTTCTTTTTAATCTTGGTCGTTTCAATGTTCAGGTTAAATCAAAGATACCCTTCAGTTTCATTGCTAGTAATAAATGTTGGTGTTTAAATGGTTAATGAAAAACTGGCGTCTGCATTGCACATCACAAAAACATTTTGTAGGAAGTGGCAAAGAGAAAAATGATTACAAGGTTTCAAAAAAGATGCCACAAAAGACACTGAAAAATAAGGAAGACGTGACCTGGAAATAAGCGTTTTGCCTGTAGTGACCTCTCCAACTAAGTAGCAAAATGAGCTTCATCTCAGCTGTCTCTAAACAGGTAAAGTCATTCAGATTCTTGCTCCCTTCTGATAGCGATCTTTTGCGTCTCTGGCAGACAACTAAAAGGATCTAGTGCACTCTGCAACAGATGAGACCGAATACTTGAATTGCGATCAGAAGTTTCATGTACCCCAGGACTTGTCAAGATACTATCTTTGTTCAGTCGTAAGCTTTCATTCCAGATTTGTGCTAGGATTGATTATACTGGGCTTTGTCTCTTTTCCCAGGGGAAACAAACCCTTTGTTGAACTCTTCATGCTCTAAACTGTAATGCCAGCATAAAAAGGGAAGTGCTGTTCAGATGAGGTTTTTCTTTTCACTTGGATCTCACAGGTCCCAGGTGTGTTTTGTGGAAGTCTGCAGAGATCTGAAACCTGCCATTACAGAAAGCTTGTCTGGTGTATTTGGTGACACTTCTGCTATTGAGCTAAAAGCAGGATATATATGATAGGGCTCTGTTCTGCTTAGCAAAAAAAGAACCCAAAAAACTGCAATTTTCATTTTCTAAATATTCCCGTCTCTTTCAAGGAGAAGAGTTTAGGGAGTTTCATGTAATTTACTGTCTCGTTCCTCTGCAGGTATGTGCAATCCTCGCAATTACAGTGACACACCTCCAACGTCCAAGAGCACTGTCGAGGAGTTGCATGAACCAATTCCTTCACTTTTCCGGGCACTGACAGAAGGGGATACTCAGCTGAACTGGAATATCGTTTCCTTCCCTGTAGCAGAAGAACTGTCGCACCACGAGAACCTCGTTTCTTTTTTAGAAACAGTCAACCAACCCCAGCATCAGAACGTATCTGTTCCAAGCAACAATGTCCACGCACCTTACTCTAGTGACAAAGGTAAAGAGTGTAGTGTCTAAATTCCTAGCGCTTCCTCTCATCTCTTCCAGGAGCCTTCTCAGCACATACTCTGAGCTTGTCTGTGCTCGCTTCTTCTTTTCCCAAAAAAAAGTGTGAAAAGTTCAGTCTAATTCCGAGCATGATGTAGCAAAAGGAGTGAGGCAAAAGTATTGAGGAACACGGAAGATGGTGTTAAAGTGTCTGATGATCTTGGGAGAAGGTGAACCACATGAGTTTATCTCTACAGTTCCTCCTCGGTCATGAGGCAGTTTGTTCACATTATTTCATGTGCACTGGCACAAAGCTCTTTGCTTTTTGAAGCAGTTACCTGTAGTTAAGGAGACAGGACAGACCAAAACCTGAAACCAACTCATGTGTCAGTGCAGAGGTAGGCAGCTGAAGCGCATGGCTTCAGAGGTTTGAGAAAGTCACGTGCCATAAACCATTGTAGCTGCAGATGTTTATTTCTTTCATCTGAGCTGGCATAACTTGAAGTCTTTAGAAGGATGGTTTGTAGGAAAGACAGGATTAATAATAAACCCAAGTAAGTTTAGCAAGATCTCTTTTTATGTTGAGGAAGGATATGTGACAGACAATCCTAAAATAAGCAATTTGGGAGTGGGTTTTCAACTGATGTACTCGTTCCTTTTATTTTTTATCAAGTTTTTTATATTCTCACCTTCAGTTTAGAGGACAGACTTCAGAATATTGCTTGCTGAAGTGGGAGGGGGGATGAGGAGTTTGAGGTAGTGATACTAGTGGCGTAAGAAAAATACTTTTGGCTCCTTGGTTTCCACGCTAAACCTGAAATACTTTTCCCTGCAAATCACTACATCAGACTTAAAAGAATCTCATAAACAGTTCATAGTGAAATTGCTGCTTAACAGGGAAAAAAAGAGCATCTGATTTGTTTTATTAGTGTAATTAATGCTTTGCTTCCTTCCCAACGCACACTTTAAATATTCGTAACCCCATATGTTGCTGTTGTGATGGCTCTTTTATCTTATCAATGAAAGATACCCTAATTGATGGACACACTGCTTTTCCATACCGTTGTGAACCTTTGACCTAGTTATATTTCTGAATAGGACTGCTGTTGATTAAATGGGACCATAATGGCAACTTTTCTAATTTCCTTTGGTTAAGGCACGTTAGAAAAATAAATTAATTCCAGAACTGGGAAACCAGATGGTCAGAAAGCATCTCATTCATATGTCTTTGACGTTATTAAAACGCTTGCTTGCCATTATGAGAACGATGCAGAAAGCCATGTTAAATGGCAAGCCACAAAAAGCCCTGTGTGCAAACACTCCAGTATTTAAAGATGTAAATTATACTTGGGGGAAAAAAAAATTACACTTAGAACAATCTTGAATATATTCCACTGTACTTAGGTACTGCAGCCCAGATGGCTGTTCCCTGACAGTCCTTTACTACCACACCAACAGGATGGGCTAATGATAGTTTTGGATTAAACTTGGAATTTGAATTGCATCTCAAGGGCGTGGAGGAGTTTTGAGTTTAACAACACAGACAAATACATAACGCTGCATTTTTTTCGTAGTCAAAAGTCTCCTTCATTTCATTTACTAAGAATATATTAGAGATTAGCTTGAGAGAGCTTTCACTGGAATGATGGCAGTCCAAAATCAGCAAGTTATATTTGGAAATAGTTACCAAATGCCACTGGTTTTCGGGCTTCAGTAGACACTTAGAGCAGAAATAAATGTCAGAGCTGTTCTTGTAATCATCGGCTGTGCCTCCTCCATCTTAGTGATCTGTGAAGAACTGGAAAAGGTAGAAAATGGCTTTCAACATCCTGTACCTTAAGTGTCTAAATATATAAGCCTGTTGAGGAGTCTGTCTTTCCTTGGTTACAATGTAGATAACTTTATAGTGCTTTGGTTTTTCAGAAGTCATATTAAAGTTTACTTATAAAAACATGGATGATTCAAACACTGAGAACAGAAGATGGAATGAAAAGTTGGCTGCTGGCCTTGGTTGGTTGATGTTTATTTTGGTGGAAGTAAGGACAACTGGGGAATCGTACCTCTTGTGCTGGATGTTGTGTGAGCCAGGGGATGGTATTGTTTTTAATACTTTTTTGATGAGTTTGTTGGGGAAGCAGTAGCCAAAAGGTGGAGGGGTAGTAGATCAAGGACTAAAGAACGTTGTGTGCGTGGACACTCAGAGGGAGCCCAGGAAGTTGCTGGAGTCTGATGGCTTCTGTCCATCCAAAATCCCACCATCAAGTCCCAGTGGTTTAACAAGCCAGCACGTGTTGGAAGCACCGCTGAAAGAGAGGTTGGGTCTGTGTGTGTGTATGTGTGCGTGCTTGGTTGAGGTAAATACAAGCACAGCCTGGAGTAGAAGAAACTGAAGACCATGTCTTTACCCTTTCCTTCTCCCCAAACGTGCTGCTAGGCTTAAGGGCAGATCTTGCAAATGGAGACATCCTTATGGTGACTCTCTAAGCAGTTGTCTTCAAGGCTGTGACATCCAGGGATTTGAAAGAATATTCCCGTGAGGAGGAACACAGATGCTTTATGTTTTCTTTACAGTGCTGTGCCTCCTCCATTTTGTGGTTCTTCTGTGGCTCCTTGCATGCTTCACTCCAACATGGGGTGCTGGCAGCAGCCTGTGGCGCTGCCTGTAAAGGGAGAGGGGCTAACGAGAGGTAGATTTTGGTTAAGGGGACAGTAGTCTCTGTGCTGTCTCCTGGAACGCATCCCAAAATTTGGAAAGGCTCTGCCTACAAATACCCCTTGTCACGTCATTTAAGGCAGTTCTGACTTAAATTCCGATGTGCGTTGACGCAGGGATCGCCATTAAGCTGTCCCGGGGTGCCAGACGTGCTCCTTGAGGCTCTGGGCGAGTGCCAGGAGAAGCAGCATCAGCCACGGGAGCCCACGAGCTTTGTGCCCAAGCGGCGTGAAGCCACCGGCCCCGGGAGGGCGGCTGTAGATCCGGGAGGAGGTGGAGTGCGGTGGGATATAAAGCATTCCTTTCTCGCCCCGGCCTGCTGCGAGCCCAGCCGCCAGACCTTGAACTTCCCCCTTATTATCTTAATGAGTGTCTTCCCTTTCCTCCTGCAAATTGGCTTTTAACGTTTTAGCTGCCAAAGTATGTGTGCGCTGCTGGAGTTGGTGTCGTCCTTCCCATCAGTAGTTTCTGGCAGTTGAGCTGCTATTTCAGAGAGGATTGTTAATCTAGAGCTACATTTATACTTTATTCTTTTTGCTTCACTTTTAGCTGATACCCTCAGAGCTCTGAACTGTGAGTTCAGATGTTTAAGTAAGCTTAATTGTTTCAAATGATGACAGGATGTTGGCGAGAGAGAGAGGGGAACTAGATAATCTTTTGGCAACTGATGAAACAAAATCTGTGTTGTAGTTAAGGGTTTCTGACTTAGGCTGCTCGGTGACACAGGGGATGGTGTCTGCTCTGTGCTTCTGCTCCCCTCCAGTGCCAGCCAGGGAGAGCAAAGCTAGAAATCCAGTAAAGTGGCATCTATCTCTGTAGGTAGTCTAGGATGATTTTTTTATTATTATTATGCTTATTTTTAAAGTGTCTTTCTATAAGTTCTGATTGGCGTAACATGGTATGGCTGCTGGATGGACAGTTATCTTTTTAAAGTACTTTCATAGCTACTGATAAACAGCCCAGCAGACAACTGAACTTACATAGCACCTTTAGCTTCAAAGGTGGCATACAGGGAATTGTCATTAACTGGAAAAGTTTTTTCATCTTGTAGATAGCCATTTTGCCTTAACTTAGAAGAACTGAATTGTTTTATCTTCTCTGTGTTGCTGAATTCCTCTGTAGTGCAGCAATACAGCTCTCACTTGCAGCACAGTGCAGCTATCATAGCAAAGCCTGATAGAAACCTAAGTCTATTTCTTCTGGTTGTTTTGAATTTAGACTTGATTGTTGTTTCTCCTACACAACCTTCCTTGAATATGAATTGCTGGGGGGAAAAGGTGAGAAACTCGTGTTCTAGAAAGAAAAGAATGCTGCTGCATCCTTCTCCCTCCCCGCACCTGTAGTCTGTTGTCTCCTTACTGTGTGAAAATTGGCAAAATGCAAATGAAAGAGCTGTTCCTGCACTAAGTAACATCCTTTTTATCTACACTGAGGGAGCCAAGTGATGACTGTGTAATTAGGTTTGTGAAACAATTTAAATACTCTCCCGGATCCCAACTGAGCCTGTAGGTATGTATTTTTTTCCCCTGTGTAACTCTGTTTCTGCAGCCTATAAAGAGAGATTTAAGGCTTGAGGCGAGGAGCTCTCCTGCTTTCAGTAATTCAGCCTCTACACGGGCACACAGATGCTGCTGACGAGGGGACCAGGACTGTCCCGTGATGAACAAAGTACACCCTGGCCCATTTGTCTCCTTCAGACCTGGCAGGTCTCTGAGTGAGTGGGACTTCAGAAATGCTTTGGTAGCATATACAAGGAACATGTCCTCCAGCTGCTTACAAGAGCTACTGGGAACCAGCCAGATCTAATGCTGTTCTGGCCTGCTGTGCACAGTCTGTCCTCTCCCCTTCACAGCATTTTTGGCCTGTTCCTCTAGGACCTAATCCTCTTGGCTTGTGTGCAGGTGGAAATAAACTTTGTTCTCCACTCTCCAGTCAGTCAAGATTAGTATCATTGGTGGCTGCTGCCACCTTAAGAAGGTTGAGGTCTGGGTTTCATTCCTGTTTTTGTCCTGGGAGAGTGATTGATGGGACCAGTTTCTCTGGTCTGATCATCTGGTTTTGCTAGGGTTATGGGCTTGGTGCTGCTCGTTCTCCAGCCTTCTTCCCCCCGAGAGATGTCTTCAGTCTCTCAGTTCAGCGTCATTGATCTTTACATCCTAGAAATCACAGGCTCTTCTACTACAAGAGGTTTATTTCAAGTTTCAGCAGACAGCTGAAAGTCCTTCTCCAGGACTTCTGAACTGGCACTAACATAAATGAGGCTGTCACAGATGAGGTTAACATGAAGCTGAACAAAGATGTTTTCTAACAGAGAGAGGACTGGTCATTCTCTGGTGTAAAGACAGCCTGCAAGTGCTGGGAGCAGCTAGCCCACCTCAGAGTGCACACAAAAGGGTAGGCAGGATTTTCAGATGTCAAGGAGGAGGACGCGTCCACAGAAAAGCTGTTGGGTACATTGTGCTCTCCTGTACATTGTGTTGCCCCTTGTCATGTGCCCACAAGCATGGGCACCACAGAGGTCATCTGTTGTTGGTACTGGGGAAACTAATGGCTAGTTCTGATGACTTGGAAGGTGATGGAGACCCTTGCTGGCCTCAACTCACCCATGTACCTCCCCTTAAGAGCTTGCCATGAGATGTGCCTACTACTGAGACTGCTAATCTGTGGGGCACCAATATTTGAAGGGGGGATTCTAGTGGACTTCAGCCTCCCAAGACTTGCTCACAGAGAAAAGACTGAATAAGCACTATGGTTAACAACTACACTGCTCTGAAAGTCCTTCAGTTATTCACCCTTCTACATATCTCTATAATAATTAAAAAAAAAAAAGGCAACAAACCACCACTGTCTTGATTTACTATTTATGTTTGGATTACATTTTTCTAATCCATGTTGGAATGTAGGTCAGTGTGATTCTCCTGGATCTGCTCACCATAAGTAGTAATAGGCCAGAAAGCTCCTTTATGTCTTCTGCTCACAAACCTGTCTGATGTGTGTAAGTGAGACATTCGTGTTTGCAGAGAGCTTTCAGTTGTGCTTTTCCCCAACGTGTGCTGAGTTACGCTGGGGGTAAATGTGATGCAATCGAGGTCCTTTGGAGGATGAACAAAGTTATGGTGTAATCACTGGGTCAGCACACAAGACAGCTGGTAGAATCTGTCAGCTCGGAGGACTGGAAGTAGACTAGGGTGGGATGGTTTTGGTTTATAGATGTGGTGAATGCCTTAGCTCCAGTTTGAGGTTGCAACACCAAACTTCATGGCATTTCAAGTAATTGCATGGATATTAGAAGAATGAAGTCAACACTTAGGCAGAAGGAGTTTCTTAATCTTAGCTGTAAAGCTGGTGTTGTTGCTAAAAAGAAAAAAGTATGCAGTTCCGAGTTGAGGAAAATAGGATTCCCTAGCTCTGATGTTTAATGTGTTGGTAGAACATTTTGGAGTTGGGGCGGAGGAGGAAACATTTACATAAGTGGGGTTTGGTGGTTTTTAAGTAACTTCTCTAAACCTGAAGTTTTCATGATAGCATATAGTAACTGCTGGCAACTGTCTTGATAATACCTTCAGAGGACACATGCTGCTTGTTACTTTGGCATAGCCTGTCCTTACACTTTAGAAGATATCCCTTGTAACATGGGGGGACAAAACCCAAAAACATTCTTGCCTGTGACTATATGAGTAAATTAATCCAGAAGGAGAGCAGACAACAGGTTGAGTTGTAGACACTGAAAACTTGAAGCTGATAGATTGTACCTTGGCGCTCTGCCTCTTCTCTCTGCTTTCACTGTCACCTTTTTTTTCCTTCTGCCTCTTAGTCATGATGATTTGCAGTCCTACTTCAAAAGCTGCACATTTAATTAATTTTTAACTAACCTTTACAAATATTTTAAGACCTTTTAAACCAAATCTTTTCCCCCCTTTTGGTTTAGAACACATGTGTACTGTGGTGTATTTTGATGACTGCATGTCAATACATCAGTGCAAGATCTCTTGCGAGTCCATGGGAGCTTCCAAATACCGATGGTTTCACAACGCCTGCTGTGAGTGTATCGGGCCAGAATGCATCGACTATGGCAGTAAAACTGTAAAATGTATGAACTGCATGTTTTGAAGCAGGAAAATTGTAATATAGCAATACTGAGGCCAAAGTAATCTCTCTCGGTTACAGAGATGAGGATTGCAAATACTGCGTTTTGGTGGAGTGCCTACTGGTTGCAATTAAATGTACCTGGTTGAAAAAAGATGTATAAAGTCTGAAAATTATTTTTTTTTTAACTCATGTAAGCAAGGCTAACTAGTAGAAGTTTCAACACTATGTTTTAAGTTTTTCTTTATTTCTGCATAAATGGTAAAGCCATGCTCATCCTTGCTGTTCTGATTGTTTTCCTTTGATTTGAAAATATTGACTATACCGTTTTTCAAAATGTAGTACTGTATCTTGTAGTTTAGAGTAGGGAAACCTTAAAAGAATGAGAATTCCATCATCTAAGTTCAACAAATTATTAAATGGCTGCTTGGTTGGGGGGGTGTCTCTAGGGGCTGGGTTTTTTTGTTTTAGTTTCTGGTTTTGTTTTTTAACTTCCAGCTTTTGAGTTTAGCCTTCTATTGTGAAAATGGTATTTGGGGAAAAAAAATAATTCATACTTCAAGTTCAACACATGGGCTGTCATGGATAAAATCCTAACTTCTTAGAAGGGCTGCCCAACAAAACACTACATATGGGACTCTTTTCTTCCCACTTTCATTTGCCCTGTTCTCGTAAGTACATTGGGGGCCTATGTTGCATAATTTGTATATTAGGAAAAAAAAATCTTTTCAGTCTTTTCTTAAATGCCAAAATAAAGCTGTTAAGTGCAGTTGCATCTCCCTCCTTTCACATTGATCTCTAGGGTTGCTAACTCCCTGAACATACAGTCCAGTAAAGGAAATGTGAAAGGTTATTAGGGATGTAATGACTAAATGAATAAAGAAGAAGGAAATGACATGAACTAGCAGTGGTACAGGACTGAGCAGCAGGCATGTTCCCATTTAGTAGTTTGCTGTGAATATTTATTCCAAAACATAATTCTCACACACCCCCAAAAAAATGTTGTCACTGAAGAAGGGAAGATGTGTCTACAAAGGCAAAATTAGGATGTTCTGAGTTTAGAACACTGTTCATTTTCCTAAGTTAGAGTTTTGATATGCTGACAGTTACATAGCAGTTACTATGACCCAGTTAGGGCTCCATTGATAATGGTACTAAGTACGACAACAAAGTGTATGAGTAGTTAATGATCAGCTTTTGCTATTTATAATTATGTGTGGTTTAACTCCTTGAAATTTTTTTAAAATATGTATATGCATATGCACACACAGAAAAGAATTTGACTCATGTTTCTCTCAGTAACCTCAACCTGGAGGGATTAAACTGTTTTCTAGTCACACCTGCCTATCTGTACCATGTACAAATGAAAGCAGTCATTTAAAATTTATTTTGCTGAAAAGTTTGTCTGAATGTTTTTTCTATTTTGTCTCATGATACAGTTCTTTCAATAAGATGAAATAATAATAATAATTAAAAAAAAATCTACTCTTGTGAAATAGCGTTACTTTCTTCAGTCTCTTCTTCAGTTATAAAGAAGTACTTGAAAGGTGAATGTTTATTGTTTCAAGCTAGTGGATAATGCAATAGTTTCATACTTTAAACTTGCAATTAAGTGATAAAAAATCGTAGATGTGAATAGAAAAAACTTAGCTTATCATGAAGGAGTTGTTCTTCCTATATTTGACAATTCACATTATCTTTTCTTCTGCTTGAGTTTCTTAAAAGGAATGGAGAGAAAGAATATGTTAGGGTAGCTGTGACTGGTTTTAGCTGGAGGGTGATGCTTCATCGTTCTTGACCAAGACAGGAGACATACGGTAAGGATTGCTACAGGTCATTAGCATGCTCCAGATTCTTGCCATGTGAAATTATTGGAAACATTATAGTAGTTCAAGATCTTCTTGGGGGAAACACAGGACTCAAAGGCTGTGGGGAAAGGCATAAACATGTAAACAGAGTTGTCTGTGTAATGGCCTGAGAGCGGGTAGGGAGGATGCGCTCCTGCTGGGGCTTGCCTTATTTTTTGTAGTGCCTGATGGTGCCTAGAGTTCGCTGTAAGCGTTGTGTGTATGCAAATGCCATACAGCAACATCCAGTGTGTTTCATTACCGTGAGTGTTTCAAGAGGTATTTTAATAAAAAAACATTACTGGTTTGTGTGTTTTCTTTCTCAAGATTTTCTCAGGGCAACTGTACCAGGGAGCATATTATAAAAGTTACTGATCTAGATGGATGGAATAATACAGAGAATTAACTCTTCAGCTGTTTTTTTTCCAAACTTAAAGTTGTAGTTTTGAGGTTTTTTCCTTTACATAAACAAATAACGTAGAATTGTATTAATAGTCAAAATGCTCTTTCTGACAAATCTAACAAGTTTGGAAAGTTGTTTATTTTAGTCTTGCTCATTTTACAAGAAAATTATCATTTATTTTGGGGTCTTTTATTTCACCTGTGTCTCGATACCAGCAAACCATCACCTGCACAAGTGCTTTAGAATACTTAAAATAAATACTTAAAAAACTTTTCTGGCTTGATCTTCTCCAGGTAAAGCATCAGCCAGTTTTATCACTGTCCTTCAGGACAGAGTTGTAAATCACTGAACTTAAAGGGAAGCAAAAAAAGGGAATTCATGTAATAAGACGCTATACAAATCCCTAGTCTGTTCGGGTTCTGACTGAGAAGGGGTTGAAGGCCTTTTGTTATTATTTCTCTAAAAGTAGAGAAAGTTTTTGTTTAGTTGCTTTGGGTTTTAGTTTTGGGTGGTTTGTTTTTTGTTTGTTTGTTTGTTTTTTCCCCACAGGCACTTGTTAGTCCTAAATTTCAGAAGCATTGACACTGTGCAGAGAGAGTGAGTACAATGGCCATAACGTGACATTTCTTTCCTGTAATTTCTTGGGGTTCCTGTCTTCCTTTTAGTACATTGAATTTATTTCACATCAAGTACTTTAAAAATAAATACAAGAACATTACCTTGTATTATTAATTCATTAATACAGCTCTGCCTTCCCCCCACCCTCTTTTTTTTTCCTGACAAAATGCTTTCTAAAGCTCTCCTCCATTATTATTATATTTCATTTATGAGGCTCAGGTACATCAACAAGACTGAATTTCAAAGCAAAGAGCTGGTCCCCTTAGAATCCTTGCTTGACTTTGTCCATAAAGCAGTAAGAATTTATAGAGTGAATGTCAGGCATGGAGGGTGTAAGTAGGTCTGTGTGACCACAATGAGTTTTGTAAGTTAGAAGTCACCCAAATGTGTTTCACATGGCATAGTTTCACATTGATATAGTCAGCACTGCACACAATCACTTGTTTGTCTTCAAAAAATGGGAGAAGATTCATTCTGGGTTCATTAGCTGATGGGCCCATTGTGCGTGAACTTGGGTTGGCAACAACTTCTGGTAATACTTATTCTTCAGAGTTGAGAGCCTCTGGCAACTGTCGCTTCAAGTGGAGATCCTCACAGGCAATCATCTCAAATTACTACGGGATGTGACTAAAGTAACCTTTCTCTCTTCTTTTGCCAGAAATAAGCTTTGTCTAACAAAAAAAAAAAAAAAAGAAGCAACATTAGCTGCAATGTTAAGTTAAATAAACCAGTAAGCCCTTGCTGTTAAGCTGTTTTTTCTGGAGGGAGGAGGTAAATTAGAAGTTGTGTGGTTATGTAATATGTTGTGGAGACAATATCTCTGTGCTCTAACACTAATCGGAGTGTTTACAACCCTCCCTTTTGTATTTTCTACTGAATAGCACAAATTCCTGTGGGGGACCTTTTTACATTACCGCAGGAGGTTGCACAAAGAGCTCATTTGACAGGGACTAAGCAGCATTGAATCTCAAGTGAATAAATGAAGCAGGTGGCACGCTGCCACAGTATTAATGTGTCCACTAGCCCAGGGATTATGTTTGAGGCTGTGGGAATGAATCGGCCTGCTTCTTACTGAAACAAATTCCCTTGTTGATGAGGAATCCTGAAAAGGATTCAAGTTATGCAGGTGCTTAACTTAACAGAAACTTGCATTGTACGAGACAGAGAATACAAAATTCCTTTTAACATCACTGTAAACAGGATGCAAGTTGAGATGGAGATGTGTTTCTTGGCACAGGTTCCCCCCCCCAAGTCGCATCCAGAGCAATTCTGTTTTCTGGTATTCCAGAGTGGCAAAGGTGATTCAAGGTCAGATTCGTTATGCAAGATGAAGTCAAAGGCTGCTGCTGTGTGAGCTGCGAATGTAGAAGCTGGCAGCAACGTTATTCAGAAGGCAGGCCAGATGCAAACGCCTAGAGAGCCCTGTCAGCTCTTGAATTGCTATTGATGGCTTTCGATGTTCGCCGACTTCGCACTGTTACAAGGGGGTTTTTTCACAGTGGGTTTAGCCTTACGCTGCATTAATTACTGCTAACGCTTATATTTCCTTGTAGATCTGCCCAGAAGAGCAGTTGGTTCACAGAATGGTTAGAGGTGGAAGGGCTCATAAACTTCATCTAATTCCAACCACCCCCCATAGCTGCCCTCCGCGACCGCTGGAGACTTTACAGAGCTCCGTTACCGGTGTTTCCCCACCTCCCTGAAGCAGGAGCGGCCTCTGAAGCCAGCTCCCCTCACGCCCGGCCTCCCTGGGCCTGAGGGACTTCAAAATGGGGGGGGCGGGCGAGGGAACAAGCGAACAGCAGCTCCAACCGTCCCCCCCTCCTCCCAGCGCGCCCGCTGCTGGGAGTTGTAGTCCGGCGGCCGGAAGCCGGCCGCCCACCCGCTTCCGGTCGGCGTCTCCAGGAGAACTACGACGCCCGTCATGCACTGCGCGCAGGGGTGCCCTCCACCCTCACGCCTTCGCGCATGCGCAGATCACCCCTCCACCCGCCCCGGCCGCGGCGGCGGCGCGTGCGCGCTGAGGCAGCTCGCACCGCTCCCCCGGCCGTCCTTGCCAGCCGGGCGGCGTGAGGCGGGATGGGGCGCGAGGCGGCGCCCGGCGCCTGAGGAGGCCGAGCGGGACCCCCACGGTTAGTGCCGGCCGGCGGCGACGGGGACGGGGACGGGGGAGTCTGCGTTCTGGGCCCCCGCCGGCCCCGGTGAGGGGGAAGCCGCTTCCGGGACTGGCGGGG